AGAAGAACCTTCTTCTTCTTCTTCTCATTTGCTCTAACTATGCCAAAAAGCACTTTTCATGTCTATTTTTTTTTTTTTTTTGAATTTGAAGTTCATTAAACTAAAATATAGTGATGAAATGGCCAATCTCCCTGGCCCTAATCATTTCTTTGGACCTTTATTGCAAAGCATAAATCACCATCATGGTCAGATTTCGAGAATGAAGGCATAGGAATCACCAAAAAGGCCAGTGCGGGAGAGGTAAGGTAGGCTGCAAAAAGTACAGAGGGAAGTTCCCTTTAGCCGTCAGACGAGGTTCTTTCTGTGTTCTCTTCTCACGATTAATTTCTACATGTGTTCTCAAAGGAAGCAACAGCGTTATGAATTGGTCAGTCTTCATATGCCTTTTGATTGGAAGTCAGAATGGACCATTGATGATTGTCAATGTGGCCAAAGCCAAGATATTGTTTTAGGATGTTTAATATAACGCCTGTCTGGAGCGCTTTTGTTGCGGAAGCCGGTGGCCAATGCGTCACAGAGCATAACTTTAGGAAAGCGATAATCCTCGTTCCTGGAAACATGCCTAGCCCAACACGACTGGATCCTCTTTAGTATGGCAATATTTATGACTCCCTGCTGTATAAAAACACATTGGCCACATTGGCTTCCAGGTACTTCTTCTGCGATACCAAGTGCTAATTTGTCCAGGAGTATTTTTGCAAGGATCTTACCAGCAATAAAGAACAAAGTAACACCTCGATAATTTGCATGGTCTAATTTTCTCCTTTCTTCTTTTACATAATGATGATGACTACTGCATTATGGAGATCTGGTGATGGTTCGCTTTTTTTGCCAACAACGCACAACGAGCTTATAAAAAATTTGAAAAATATTTTACTAAATCACAATTTGATCTTGAAAGAAATCTGCTTACACTTTTGATGGTATTTTAAAGGCTAAACATAGAGGAAAGATGTGATGATAATGAAGTAAGTAAGTCTATTACATTCTTTTGCGATTATTTAAGATAAAATGGAAATATCTTTCTATTAAATAAATCTTTTTATTATGCAAGTATACGGATTGATTGTATTGTTTTACGTAGAGTTGTCCTGACATTTCCAGAATTGATCTTTGAGATTTGTTGAAAATTGATGTAAAAATGTTATTGTTGATGGGGTTAAATGAAAAGTGTCAAACTTCCCCATCAATACTATTTTTTACAAATCTTCTTTTACCTTTAAACATCATTTTTCTTTTCAAAAAGAACTGACTGATAAGAATCTAAGATTATTTGATCTCTGTGCCAAAAAATAATCCTAAAGATGAGAGACGAGGGTGATCACCTCTATAGATGGGAGCCATATGTAAGTTTCACTTTTTAGCAGATTCCCACAACAATGAGCATCCCTTCATTATCCGAGAATCTCAGGAAAATCTTCGTTTTCCCTTCACTAACCGATAGTATGAGCCCAGATGACTTGAAATGCAATTAACTGTAACCATACGGAATAACATTCTGTTGTTGAGCGAAAATTGTTATAGTGCTCAATCTAATATTATTCCCGCTGGATGCAGTATTTCTCACCGTCACTTCTCTGAACCATCCCATACCTCGGAGATTTCCCAAGTGCTTCTTGATAGAGTAAGTTATCAATTTTCTTTGTATGTGCGAAAAGCGTTGCTAAAATAAAAACTCGAAAATATTTTGACTTGTGAAATTTTCGATTCGACCTATTCCTATGAAAACTTATAATATTAGGATTATATTCCATGCTGATACTTTAAATTTATAATGTTGCGATGATATGATTCATAATGAGAAGTTCATCATGAAAATTCATTATTGCTGGAACCGCAAAAACTGATCACGAGGAACGCTGTGCTTATTTTCTAGAATATACTATGTTGTCTACAATTGTACATCAATATTTCACTGCTTATTTTCATTAGCGTCACTTCACTGAAACTCCGTTACTTTTCACCGCGTCCCCACTGACATCGACCTGTTCCGCATTGACACAATACTTTTCTTTTCTCAGTTCATTAGAATTTCAGAGTGGACATGTTGCCCTTCCGTTGAAGACATAGCTGAGAACATTGCGGCAATTTGTGGAATGGCAGGAGTACTGCTGCATCATTCTGCGTTATGTGAAACAATTGAATATCATAACGCAGATGATACAGCTGCATTCACAAATGCCATCCTCGTAGCTAGCGTGAGTACGTTGGTCTGAACCGGATCTAACCGGAACATTTTAACCGTAGACACTTCATTCAGATTTGACAGTAAGCTGCTGTTTTAAATGATTGGGCTTTAGATTTTGGGTCTTTCGGGTAGATTACTGTTTACGTCAGGATTAATTCGACCAATATATCTCAGGTATCACCAAGTATATCTCGCTGTATCGATTTGTGATATGATATATAATCTAAAAACATAACATATCCGATACGACAGCTATCACTGGCGCTTTTGGGAATATACAGATGGGCGAACTGTGTTGTGACTTCGGATTGAAATGGTTTGAGTTACAAAAGGTCTTTCTTTTATACGGAGATCCGATGATGTTAAACTGAATTATTTGTCCCAACTCCGCTTCGCATTGGTTCAAATCTTCTATCGATTTTTGAATCCACAGACGATCTTCACTAGTACCTCTTTCTTTTTTTCTCTTACTGAGAGATGAGGATCACACGTATCTCAGCAGTTGGAGAACCACTCCTCCAACTTCTCTGTATCTTATAATTTACATATCTTCATGACTAAAATTCAGATGGGTTCTCAGATTTTTGGTACAGCCTAATTTTCCGGACTATCAGGTATCGTTTGGTAAGAATCATATCCATCATGAGAATAGTCTAGGAGGTACTGTATGATATGCAACATACTAACATTAATAAATGCAACGACAATCTCCAATATTATTTATATTGTATTCATGATATTTTAACTTGGTAGTAATGATAACTGTGCAATTGCAGTTATTGTGAAAATGATTAGCACAAAATATCTGTTTTTGTTTTGAGGATGTGAAGTTTTGCAATAACTTCTGCTAATGCAAAAGTTCCATTTGAAGTGGTCGCATAAAGAGTTAAGAATGCATAAATAGTCCTAAATGATCATTAGCTACCTGCTAATGATTATCTGCTAAAATACACTCAGTATGAAACTATCTGTTGATCAGAGTACTTGTTTTAAATGATACCTTTATTTGCATATACTTGCCGAATCACTTACCGTGGTGAATAGAGTAATGGGTCCTTACATCAAATATTATGTAATTTAGTAATACTTTTTTACTCCATGAGATAATGGACTTCCCATTTTCCAGCAATTGAATTGATTCATTGGGAGAAAAAGTTACATTAAAGTAAGTATGGTTATGTATGATTGACAGGTTATTAACATTTTTACGATCATTATGGTGACAAAATGCAAAGAAAAAGAAAATTGGAAAAAAATTTTGAGCGGGAAAATGATTGTAAGATTTTCAATGTGAGATTTTGTTTGAGAATAAAAACCAAAGAAATATTGCCAGAAAATTCTTCATCATTGATCTACTATTATTTCTCATCACTAATACGATAATGCAGAAAATATGGATGGATAGAAAATAAATAGAATCCGATATGTGAGAATTCAGAATGCTCAATTATTTGAATAACTATCAACGATTGATTCTGATTGATAATTGGATTGGATGACATCAATTAATTTCCACATTATATCTTAACTTATCAAAGCTAAAAATGCAATAATCAGTTTTTCGATAACAGAAATATATTAAGCAGATTAGCTGATTTCTTTACGCGATTATAGGAATTGATACATTCATCGAGAGTTTATGAAATATTTCTCTTTCAGAATAGCAGTAATTATGAGTGACAAAGGAGGAAACCTTTCATTATCATTAACAAATGTGTGTTATCGTTCTACATCGTCATCATTATAAGCTTATCATCATTGATGACAGATATGCTTCAATCATGTGCAACATTTGCAATGATAATGACTGAATGTTGGTGATATTAGCAATAAAAGAGTAGTACAATGCTGAATCATGAAAAACCCTTTTGAATGTTTAAATTTTTGCATTTTCGAATTTGAAAACCTTTTCAATTTACTATATGAGTAGAACATTATTTTATTCAGAGTTATCTTGACATTTTATGAATTGACCTCTGACATTTCTTGGAAATTAATCCTTAAAATTTATTGTTGTTAAGGTCAAATGAGAGGTGTCAAACTTCCCCATCAACACTATTTTTTGCAAATCTTTTTTTTCTATAGATATCATTTTTTTTCTTTTTTTTGAGAAGAATTGGCCTATTAGAATCTAAGATCATTCGATCTCTGTGCCAAAAAAAAAAACACCTGGAGATGAGGGTGATCTCCTGTATGCTATATATAAGTCTTGCTTTTTAGCAGATTCTCACATCAAACACCACCAGATCTGTCTCCATTATCCAAGAAGTCTCAGGAATATCTTCGTTTTCCCTTCACCAATCGACAACATGAGCTCCAGTAGTAATAGAAGATTTGAAACGCAATTAACTGCAACCATACGGAATAATATTGTTATTGAGCAAAAATTGTTATAATGCTATAAGCCAATATTATTCCCGTTGGAGGCAGTATTTCTCAGCAGCGCCTTCCGTGAATCTTCCCATACTTCGGAGATTTGCCAAATTTTTCTCGAAAAATTGGACTGCCAATTTGTGCTCAAAACCGTTAAAACAAGGGACAAAAATAGTTTGACTTGTAGTTCCAAGAAATAATGTCTATTCAGAATTGGGAAGTCCTCCTCATCAATAATCAAGATGGAAGTTACC